GACACCTGCAGCTGCCTGCCCTCCCCCCTGCTCGGGAATCCTGTGCTGCTGTGACCCTTCCCCTCCCTTATGTCTACACCAACACGCCGCCATGACACCCCTCCACCTCGAGGCAGCTCCCTCCCCCACTACCACTGCCTCGCCCTAACCTTGCTGCAGGATCTTGATGGTTGACGGCGATCACCGGGTGGCCAACCGAGATGTGGCGGCGGGGGACGAGCTGATCTACAACTACAACTACGACAAGCGGGTGGGTGGGGGGACGCGAGTGGTGGTGGTGGTGTGCTGCGAGCGTGTGGTGGCGGTAGTGCAGAAGGGGCAGGCGTTTTTAAGGAGGAAGGAGGGGCCGGGATGGAGAGCCCTGTGTCCAGGCTGGAAGGAGGGTGGAGGAGGCGAGGAGGCACGGCATGGCAGTAACCGTGCTGCGCGTTTCTTGCCCACCACTCCGGCTGCCCTCTGGCGCGTGCGCAGGTGGCCCCCGACTGGACGGTGGGCATGCAGCAGGAGGAGGAGGGCGGGCGGGGGCCGGCCAAGAAGACTGTGGTGAAGCGCCACGGCGGCCGGGCGGCGGGGGGGCAGCGGTGGCAGCGACCGCGACTGATGCCGGCGGCGGGCGGCAGAGAAGCAACCCAAACCCCAAACCGATCTGCGGATCACATCCCTGGAGATGCCAGATGCAACTGGGTAAATGTCCAGGCAGAGCAAAGCCGGAGAGGCATCCCCCATGCCTGTCATGTGGAAAGAAGCTGCTCTGCACATCCAAGGTTTGGGCCAAACCCCAAGCCCAGGAGGCTGTATTCACGTCCCTGGTAGCTGCCCCGGCCCAGCAGAGGTGCAGGCATCCGTCACTCAGCACCCACCCCTCATGCCAGTCCCTCCCCACTCCCCCCAGTGCTCTCCCTGCAGCTAGCCGGCTTGGCGCAGGGCCTGGCCCTTGCCCACGAGGCCAGCAGCAGCAGCAGCAGAGACAGAGGCGGCAGCATGGCGCAGGTCGGCAGCGCCGCGCCTGGCGGCGCCTCGCCCGTGCCTACAGGCAGCGCGACGGTGAGCCGCCCGGGGAGCAAGCGCCTGCAAGTGCAGCCGCCACCCCGATCAAGGAGCCACCAATTGCATGGGCACCCGCTTGCAATGGCGCCCTCCGATCGGCAGTGCGCAATGCAATGTGGCCTCTGCCCGCCCCTCAGTCCCCTCCTCCTCCCCTCGGCTGCGCAGGCAGGGCCCTTGGACAAGGGCTCCCTGGAGCTACACACACCACCGCCAGCCCCCGGCAGCATCGCAGCATCGCCCGCTGTTATGTGAAGCT